GATCACTTAAAACCACGTTTTCGGTGCTTGAAGGCGTGGGAAGAACACTCAAAGGGAGAGATCTTTGTCGAGTTCGCAATGCTGTTTTCCGCCAAACAGGTTTTCTAGATTGAAATGATAAGGAACAGTTCAGTTAATTTTGAGTGAATTATACATATTGTTAATCAATCTGGACTGAGGTTTTCGTCCAAAATCATTATAGCTGGACTGAAGTGAAATTTTCTAGCCAACTTTCAGTCATGGAATCCATCATTAGATAACATTATACAATGGAGATAGTTCTATATGTTTTTTCATCCGTTTCTTCAGTTTATGGGTGTTTACCGTATTAATGGGAGTTGAAAATATTATTCTAGGAAATTTTGGTGTACATTTGGCCATGGAGATCAAGAGAATTTAAATGGAAAATAGTTTTGTTAGATTTTATATGATTGTGATTGAAGAACTTCATTACATGTCAATTGTGATCAAATCTATCGAAGTAGGCTTCTGTTTACTGTCTCATGTTTTGCTATAATTCGGTATACAAATTGCTATATACTAGGTAGATTCTCCTGTACTTGTTAACTGTATTGGGATTCTAATATGCAGCTTGGTATAAAGATATAATTACCATTATATAAAAGATGATTTATGATTTGGTTCATGTTTCATGATTTCGGTGGTTGATAAAACATCAATTGGTCCAAGTGATATATAATTCTGTCATAATACCCTGGGGTATTCACTTCAACTGGGATTCATCCTTCGAAATTCTATAATTGAAAGCTTGAGAATCAAGAGTTAATTGAATGACGGGAATGAATGGGAAAGTTCATGTTTGGATGAAATAATGGTATAGGTAACTTGGAATGTATTTGATGATGAATGAATTGAGTTACCCTGGTGTAGGTAGCTTAAATGGTCAAATTAGGGGTAAGATGATCTTACCGCAAGGAAAGAAAATTGAGTTTGGCTGTATGTTGACCAAATTAAAGTAGCTATGATATCGGTCTAGTGGTTAATACCTAGATTGGTAATGTTTGATCCTAAATTTTAGAAGAATGCAAAGGGTTGGCTTGCGGCTTTGCATTTGGGATAATTTCTCTCGGCGCTCTTTGTCAACCAGTTTGCTATGCCCAGAGCACACGGAGTTTGTTTATTCATGGATATATAGCCTCCGGCCATCCATGTAGAGATTTGCATTGACGTCATTATCATGTTCCTTAAACTGCAGTAAGTTTTGGTAGTTCATCTTAAGATCCAGCTTGGTTAAGCGCGTCTAGTAGCAAGCCTTCTTCAAGTAGTTACCTTCCTTGTTGGGAGTGTGTTTATCTCCATCAGTCACATGGTGCCATGTATAGTTTACATCTTATGCATTTCACTGGGTAGTTGCAAGTTATTTGATGTAATCATATATTTACATTCTCATGGTACACATAATTAGAGACTTTTGATACTGGCCGAGTGATTACTACTGTGAAGATTCTGTGGCTCCTCCCTTGAAACGACTATAGTTGGAATGATTTTAATCACAATTTTCTTTTCTTGCAGTTTCCCTGTCTAGTTGAAATGTCTATAAATCATATTGCTCTGTACTTTGTCAACATTTGATGCATTTCAACTGCTACACTAGTTAATTGATAGACAAAACCACTAGATGACTTTTGTGCCTGCTGTCTTAAGTTATACCAACTTGCAGGCCATCTTTGACTCTAAAGAGTGATTCCTGGTTTTTTAATTCTTAAAAGAGTTGTCTTCAATGAATGAATCTAGTGCTTATCTCTCGATGTTATCTAACCTTCTCTGTTTTCAGTCCCAATATTGGAAAGAAATGTTAAGGTGTGCGGGATCCCATAAGAACCTAGCACCTATGTTCTAATATTGTCTGTTGATTGCTGTTTTTCTCGATATTGGAGAATTTAATTTGGACGACTACTTCAAGTTTGTATAATTTGTTCATATGTGAGGGGAATCCTGCTATATCTGTGCAATCTTTTGTGGTGACAAGGCCGCATACCTTATACAAGCGGAGCCTTGTTGCATTAGGTTCTTTATTTTACTGATGCCTTTATTTCTTCTTTTCATTTCATGAGGCAATGGAATCCTAGTGTAACCTAAAATTTGAAGTGATAATGACGATATCTTGTTGGTTGGTTTTTATGTAAGTTTGCCTTCTGATTGTTGTCACCATTCAGTAATAAATGGGAATGGGATGTATCCAATGTGGTATTTGTGGAGACTATTATTATCTGCTCCTATAGTTTATTCGCAATGTTAAAACAAGAAAAGCTAAGATCTCTGATCAGGCCGAATTCAGTACCTTTTATCAGGTCAAGGGAGAAGGAGATATCAAAGAGTCGTCGGTGTTTGATCCTTTGCAACTTGGATAGGTATTTGTTTTGCTTCACTGCCTTAAATATCATAGTCGAAAGTGAACTTACCAAACTCTTAAAAGACAACTTTTTGTCCATTAAATCTACATCTACATATCCAGCAAATGACGATTTGCACTCTGCAATATTTTCCCCTTTGTGTGATGATGCAGTGTCTAAGCCATTAGTACTCTGCAATGCAACAGGAAAAAAATCTGGGCATTCGAAACTTGTTGTATCAGTAGTAGATGAATAAAGTGGGTGTTTAGCTTTGATCCAATTGATGAAATTCTTGCTTCTATACAATGATAAATATTGTCAATCCCTTTTGTTTTCTCCCATGCCCATCCAAGCTGTTGATGGGTCACATATTATTATCGCAACATTATTGTTATATATATATCTGAATCGAATCATATAACCATTTTTAAAAATTATAATCACATTTATATCTAAATTCATATGTTCCAAAAGATAATGCACTATTCCAATTTGGTAATAATAAAAAAAATACATGAAAATTACAAATATAGAAAATCAACCTTTACTTCATTAAAATCTACCCAAAGAGTGGAACCCTTTTTTCTCGTTACTTGCTTCAATTGGTTTATTTAATTTCAGTCATATTTTTCACATATACATGTCTTCACCACACATGCCTATATAATTGTCTAAAGTCTGATCTTGGTAAAGACGACTCCGATAAAAAGATCTTGAAAGTTGGTTTTGATGAGCCATATCAAACTTTGAACAAATGCATATTTATTTTTTACAAGGTTATACTTCAGACAAATTATCTGAATTAATATGTAAATTTTTAGCATCAGTCGCTTATGTATGAAGTTACATGTAAAATGGAAGAACTTGCAAATTTTTTTTACCATCAAATAAAAATTAAATTGCAACTATAAAAATAGGTATTCATCATATGAAAAAATAACTTGTCCAACCCGTTCAAACTTGGATAAATCCGCTAATTTATTAGCTCAATTCATTTTGGTCAATCCAATTTAATATATTTAAAATTAAACTGATGTTATCCCAAATTGACTAATGTGAAAAATTGTCAAAACGTATTTTTCAATTTTTTTTCCTGATATTTTTGTTATATTTTTCAATTAAGAAAAAATAAATTCTTAAATATTTTTAAAAAATATTAAAATATTAAAAAAATTAAATGTTTTAATATCGTTTAAAGTAACTAAATAAAATCATAACATTTACTATCAAAAAAATTAGGAGCCTCTATAGAGGTTCTACTAGCCTCCCCTTGAGCCACCTTTTATCCTTAAACATTCAAATTAAAATGTATAGAGTACTACTTAAGATAAAGACAATAATGGCAAAAATATTAAATATAGTTAATAATTGAATATATATATTACCAAAAGTGAATGAAGTTGGTTGTACAACACATTTGTAGGGTAGTGTTCTCAACAAAATAGAAATATATCATTCTGTATTCTACACAAACATGACACATAAAGTAAATATAATAAAATGAATATCGAGTTTTAAATCTTAATACTTGCTTTTAGAATTGGGAAAATTACGCGGTTAAACAAATTTATACTACTTAATTATTCATCATAGCTATAGTTTGCTATAATTATCACCCGCGACTAATATTAACCATTAATTACGTGGGCTGACTTCGAGTTTGTATAATTAGCCACATTTGTATATATATAATTCACAACTAACAATTCTTTGTTTGATTTGTATTTGTATACGATGATTTGTATTTGTATATGACGATGATTTCCTTTGGTTTTTCAGTTTTGTCATCATATACATTCAATCTTTTTGTGTATAACTTTTTAAAGTTTGTATAAACGTGTAGTTTTCGGATTTTGTATAATATAATTTATATAATGTAATTTGTATAATTGTTAAAAGTTCATATGTTTATGTCTGTATCAATCCGTTATTTCGAGTTTTATTATATTTGTATAACTCCAGACTTTATACTACTTAATTATACAAAAACACGTGAATTGTACAAACATACTTGCGAATTATACAAATTATTGTCCTCTCTCGCTCGCCTCTCTCCTCTCTCTCCCAATCTCGCTTGCCTCTCTCCTCCCTCTCCAAATCTCGCTCGCCAGAATATACAAATACATATGTATAATATACAATTCACCTCTATGACCTCTCTCGCTCGCCTCTCTCCTCCCTCTCCGTGTCTCACTCGCCACTCTTCACTCGTTATATAGCTATGAATCTTAATTAACAAACTATATCTATGAAGCGTAATTAGACTATTTTTGAGTGACTATATGCGAAAGTTTAAAAACACAAAAGGCTTTCTACATGGATCAATCAATTGTGATAAAATAGATAGATACCTAATTATAAAGAATCAAAGTTAGAAGTTAGAAATTAGAAATTAAAATCACGAGGAAAAATATAAATAAATTATAGGATAGAGAAAAATAAAATAAATAAATTTAATTAGACGGAAAAATTATCAATATTGACCCACTCAATTCTAGAGCCGCCACCCCTGTTTTCAATTTCTGGTGTGGACACATATTAGAAACTCTCAAGCGCTATGGCTATGGCTATGGCTATGGCTCTCTAATTGTTAGTGCCCACAAAAATGCCAATTTCTACTTATCATTTCTTCCTTTTCTCTGAGAGATTTCAGTTGCAAAATGGGTTTAATGGAAGCTTTAATTTTTCTATGCAAAGGACAGTTCTGGAGAATGGCTGTTTTTTGGACTGTATCTCTCATCTTATCTTACTTGCAGTTGTTTTCCCAAACACATTTATCGCGTAAATCCAAATTATTTGATCGTTGTTCATCTATATCATCATCTGCTATCAGAAAACCAATCTGCATAATTACAGGTGTAAGTGTGTTGTAAGCCTTTTTCGTTTTGGTAGTTTTATGTGATTATGTTTCAACCTATTCGTATGGAATGGTAAATGATTTAGGTTACATTGGTACATAGTGTTATTTTCAAGTAACTTGTCATCAATCTCAATTTTGTCGATGCAATTATATTTTTGTGTGGCGTAGTGGTGAATGAAGTGGTTGAGAGTTATGAGGTTTCAGGTTCAAATCCGAGTGGAGATTAAAAAAAAATTACTAGGTGATTCTTTCTATGTGTCTTAGTCTTTGTACACAGAGTTACTTGATACTTGTTGTTGGTAAAAGTGATGGCTTGAGCTCAAATGGAGATATAAAGTTGCCTTGTCAATCACCTGTGATAGATGAGATAGTTGGCTCATCTCAAGCTGATGTGTTTGACACTTTAAAGAGGTCTGACGAGAATTCATCTAATGAGCAGCGAGGGAGAAACTAAGTCTAATCTTTCAATCACATGTGACAAATGAGCTAGTTAGGGCATCTGAAGCAGATGCCTTTGACCCATTAAAAAGGTCTGATTCGAAATTCATTAACACGTACAGAGGGAGAAACCAAGTCTGCTGATGTTTCCTTTACCCAAGGGGAAGCTTGTTTCAATATTGCTGCACCTTGTATGAGTCAAACCACTGAATTTTTCAGCAGTTAATAGGAGTACTGGATAGGAAGTTATGAGCACTGGCCGTGGGACAGCTGGCAGGTATCTCGTGGAATTAGAAAGCTGGCTCGGACATCACAGTCATAAAAAAAAAGTTGATCGTTTGGAATTACCTGACATGGGAGGGGCTAGTTTTTAAGGGTCTTTGTGTGTGTGTATGAGTGACTATTATGGAGGTAGTAATTCCCCATTCCTTTAGTCTTTTCAAGGGTATTTTTCTTAAGTCGTGGTCATGTCTTGCCCCCTAAACATATTTCTGAATTCTGCTGCATATATGTTACTTATACCGTGTAGTCTAAGAGTGAACACACTCTCTCTGATTTAGTTATAGGAAAACTTGAATCTGTTACTTTATCTACTCTAGTTGTGAGCTATAACAAGCTTAAGACTAAGCAAAATTTTCTTGTTAATTAGTGCCACACTTAGGCTTTGGATCAAGTTCAATAGCAAAACTAGTACAACCACGGTCCTAGCCTTGTTGGACAGAGTTACCTGGTACTTGTTGCCGGTGCAGGTATCCTGTGGAATTAGTCGAGGTGTGCGAAAGCTAGCCCGAACACCATGGTCATCAAAACAAATAATTATTATCTTTTATGGGTATTTGGTTTTTAGTGAAAAAACTTTGAATTCTTGTCGGCTATCACCATGTTCCGTAGATATCTTAATTTTTGCCTTCAAGAAAGTCTTTTCGGCTTAACCAATTTTTTCTACCTGAGTGCTACGTGATATATGTGCCAATTGCTACAAGCTATTTATGCTTCACATTACCATCTGTGTCTTGTTCTTATTGGTGTTAATTTGCTATCATTTACAGGCCACATCTGGTTTGGGTGCTGCTGTTTCCTATGCCCTTGCTAAAGAAGGCTATTGCGTTATTCTTGGTGGGCTTCTTTCCTTGATATGATTAAAAAAATGAAATGTCGTTCTAATTTTATTTATACTTGTTAAAAGATCGAGTGTGTGTATGGAGAAGCACTCTCCATGAGAACTACACTGCAAACTTACAAATCTATTGATCTATGAATTCAAAAAGATGTTCTAATTAAAAGATCAAATTTGTTAAATCCAACCTTTTTGTTATCCCTAGTAGCTTATGTGGCATCCATCCCACACAAATGGAGAGTGTCAAAGATTATTTCCTAGGCTGACCGTTGACGATTTTGTGTCGTTGGTGTGCCTTCAATCAAAATTTGATTAATTATGTCCAGCGACTTGTGCTATAAGGAGGCACTTAGATGTAATTGGGTTCATATTTAACTGTTTCCTTGTAGCTGATAGACTTTTTTTTTCCCAACAGAATCCATAATTTGTTATACAAGGAATTGTCTCAACTATTTATGGCTTTTTGTTGATAAGCTGCTTGGCAAAGAAATTTGGGAAGAAAATTCTTGTTTCCAATGTGGGATATGATGATGCCACTTTACAGTGGTGAAGTATTCACTAGTTAGTTCCCTTTTTTCCAATATCTTCTGGCTTTCTTGTTGTCTTAGATCAGGAATCTTCATGTTTTTTTCTATTTAGTATCTTAAATGGCCATTCCATATGGCAAATATCTTTTTGGTGATTTTAGTAGATTGTTAACTATGATATTAGAAATCGATTCAGTAGAAGGCTACTTCTATTCCAATTACATTTGCAACCTTTTTTTTTTCTTTTTATTATTCATGCAACTAAAGATTTTAATTGTCAACAGTTTTTAGTGAAACCTCTACACCTCTAAGTCAATGCCAGTATGGTTTAACTGACCCTCTAATACTTGCAGCTGGAAGGTCATTGCACTCATTGTCAAAGGTACTGTAATTGAGTCACTGGCTTTTGTTGATTCTGCTTTAAGATATTCTCATTATTCTTGTTTCACAGGTTGCGTCTGAAATCAAAGAACAGATAGATGATGCTTGTGTAAAAGCTTTTCAGGTTGATTTGTCATCATACAAGTCAATCTTGAGCTTCAAACACTCCCTTCAACAGTGGCTGTTGGACTCAGATTTGCATTGCTCTGTCCAGCTCTTAATAAATAATGCTGGAATCCTTGCGACATCATACAGAGTCACTACAGAACAATGTGATCAGTAAACCACCTAAATCTTTATATACTGCTTTTCTTCATTCTGACTATCCTTGCAATAGGTTGTCTTGAGCATTCTTCTCAAGCAAAACTGCAAATATATGTGTTTCATCCTTTGTTCTTGTGGAAGAACTCTTTCTACTACTCCTTGCACTGATAGAACAGAGAAAATCTTACAGAGATATGAAACACAATATTGAAGAGCATTTTAATTGACACTATCTATCCCAACTTCACTTATCAGATAAGCAGCGAAACATTTAGTAGAATGTTCTTGTGATTTAGATAATGCTGCATTGGGATCAACACCCCCCACTTGTCGTCAATGCGCAACAAACTTCACATTTTGCCTTATTTTTGTTAGGATCCTGCACTATTAATCAACACTATCTATCCCAACTTCACTTATCAGATAAGAGGCGAGACCTTTAGTAGAATGTTCTTGTGATTTAGATAATGCTGCATTGGGATCAACACCCTCCACTTGCCTTTAATGTGCAACAATTTCACATTTTACCTTATTTTTGTGAGGATCCCGCATTGGTTAGTTGCATGGTAAACTTGGCACCTGTAGCACTGATAGGAGCTAATCTCTCTCTTTGTCCCCTTTTTCTCCTGCTGCTATGAGGATTTTGATAATCCCGAGAAACACATAAATTATGTGCTAATTGGACGTTCTTTTTTTTTTTTCTGCAGGATGGTGTCAACTAATTATATTGGTCCATTTTGTCTTACAAAACTTCTTTTGCCACTTCTAGAACAGAGCCCTATCCCTTCTCGTGTTGTTAATGTTACATCATTCACGCATCGAAATGGTAGGTACAATTCATATACTATCAGTATTATGTACACTCAATGTTTATCAGCATCACGGACACTCGATATGTAAATAAAAAAGGTGTTGGCTTGTGTCGAAACTCAGAAGCACATATGTAAACTACTCTAGTGCATGTTCTGTTGCTTTATATGTTCATCTGTGGTTATATCTTTGACAGTCTTCATTTCATAATTTGAACCTCTACACTATATTCTTCAGTGTTAGGACTAGTCAATTCTGTCAATTTGAAGCCTAACAACTCAGCCTTAGAGATCCGGGGATGAAGGTTGCCTGAGATAATGAGCTAGAAAATTATAGATTCTTTATTGCTAAATGGACAGATGCCATTGGAACATTTTGTGTCATTAAAGTCTCTGCTAAGAATGCTTCTTGTATCGTGTTCATTTATGTTTTTTTCCTGAGAATATAGTTGAATATAAATTGATGAGGGTAGTTTTGTTGGTAAGAATTTAACCAGAACTGCAATTTTTTTGGAATGTTCTTATGGCTGTTATTGGTGAACATACGAATAATAAGATTGTAATTTGGCATTTTCTACTTTTGATTGATAGTGTCTAGCATGGAGGTCACCAGAGAAACAATATCTGGGCAGTGGTTTTCAAAATTAAGTTCCTATCCATATGCTCATGTATATGAGTACTCCAAATGTAAGTTCAACTTTCCAGATTAAAGTGACCGTTACTATCCTTGAACTCATTGACACCTAAAATCTCTCGCCATTTCTCTTGCAGTATGCCTTCTGCTCTTCACATATGAGCTTCATCGGCAAGTTGGTCTGGCGGAGAAATCACATAGTGTCTCTGTCATGTATGTTTATGTTCTCCTTTACAAACAAATTTTAGGTTCTCTATGTCACCTCGTAAGCCATTATGGTTATCAATTTAATTCTATATCTTTCAAGAATGTGTTTGTATATTAAGGTAAAGCTCATCTTTTGTGTTGGTTTGTACAGGTTAATTCATACTTTTCCTGTCGTGTCATCTGTTTGTCCATATCTAGTTACCTAGAAACCAAATTGTAGGCTAATTTTTTTTTTCATGATTCTGCATATGTAAGTGTAAACTGAGCTTTTCTGGGTGTAACATGATAGTTACATCACGAAGAGGGTAGAACTATGATACTTTCTGAAGGGGATATTGATTTCAAGTGTAGTTTTCCACACTATGTTTGCTTATTGTACTTCAAAGGAGCATATTTTTTGTAAACCATGGGCACTGTAGAGTGCTTCAGTTGTAGGGTTGTGATGCATCTAGTTAGTCTCTATGACTTTCTGCAATAGAATTAGAATAAGAAGTCATGCTGTGCTCATTTAGTTTTTGTTAATGAAATATGCATTTTCATGCCCATTGAGAAGATATCCGAGACGTGGGCTTAATTTAGATCCTTCCATTGCGATCTATGACATATTTGGATAGTAGTAGAGTCTGTGACGCCTGAATTGGTCATCAAAAGTAAAGTAGTTTTGGAGCAAAGAGTGTGTAAAAGAAAGTTGCTCCACCATGTTAATCTACTTTCAGCCTCACCATTGCCTGCCTCTCAGTCAGAAACAACCATTTAATTTACGGTGAAAGCTGTGAATTGTTAATGTGTGTTACTTTCAGCCTTTTAGCTTCTAATATTTCTTTCTAACTTTTTACCTGTCTTACTTTTGTAAATTAGATCCTGTAATCTTAACTGATTAAAGATCTCTTTATATGTGTCTTAAGTGGTGATTTTATTTGCCTGAACACTTCTTTTGTTTTTGTTCTGGAATGATGAAGTGCTGCAGATCCTGGAGTTGTGAAAACCAATATTATGCGAGAAATTCCGTCATGCCTCTCATGGTTGGCTTTCTTCGTTTTGAAACTTTTGGGCCTTTTGCAGTCTCCCGAAGTAGGAATTACCTCTGTTCTAGATGCAGTACATGCGCCACCAGTGAGTCTTCCCTGCAGCCCTCCTATCTTCTGTTTTGTGATATGTATCAATTGGCTCTCAATTTATTGGTTCATTTCTTTGATTTAATTTCCTGTTTGGTCAATGCTTACAATATTCTCGTAGAAGCTGAAGCACAAAACTCTTTGGAACTTGTTTCTCTATGAAATTAGGCCAAGTACTCGTATAGTCAATGGATTCCCCTCATTTTGTATTTTTAATGAAGAATAATGCTCCTGCAGAAGAAGTTCTGCTATTTCAACACAGAAAATGAGATTGACAAATCATGTGGATTGTGAAATATCTGATCAATAAAAAGTTAAGACTCATAAAAGTAAGATAAAAAAAATAAAGAGTTCAGGTAGCGTTGCAAGAGGGTGGCATATTGTCATTTTGGAAGCACGTATCTATTGAGGGGAGTTCTGCACCCATACTGAATAGTACTATGTTCTAGATTAATTGGTTTCCAAAAACTAACAGGGTTGTGTTTTCGTTTCATTCATAAAACCACAGTTGATGCTGTCAAATATAGTAGGGACAGCCTGACACAGGTCAGTAACTGTAGAGCAGTTGCTCAAAGAGTATTGTCAAAATCCAAAATACGGGACCTGACGAGCTTACTAGTTGACATATAGTTAGGTAATTACTCTTTAAGTTCATTAGCTTCACGTTTCTTAGTTTAACCATCCATGTCTGCGCCCAACTTAGCAGCTTGGTGAACCCATCCATGTCCACTTTCAGTCACCGAGTATCTAGGGATACCATCCACATTAACTTTCAATCATCAAGTAGATGGGGAATCTCATCATACCTATGGATTAGCATCTCACTACCATAAGAATGAGTAAACTATTCAAGTTTGCTCCCAATCGCCGTGCAGCTAAGGGACTTCCTTTATTATTCTCTTTTCATGATTTTTCGGTAAGTTGAATAATTCTACTAATGTTGGGAAAGGCTCCCGTATATGAGCAGTATACCAAAAGTAGGGAACCTTCGTTCAAATATGGTTTGTCTACTAAAGACACGGGATCTCAATGGGTGCACCAAATAGAAATTAGATACAAGAGACTTCTCAAATATACGAACTCATATTCAATCCCTCAAACTCTTTCCTTCCATACTAGCCCACATTAGGACTTAAATGGAAACCTCCCACGCCCTTGATCTTCTCTTCCTGCTTTTAGATGTCCAACTTTGCAATGTCTCTGTTACTCTACCATGCATCACTGACCGTCTTTTGAAATAGTTCAGAACCATCCTTCACAGATCCAACACCACCTTACAATGTACCCTGAACATCTCCACAAAGTACTAACTGATATAAGTAACCTTTATTTCCTCAGGTTGTCCATTGTCTATGTCAATCTTTTAACCACCAAGCAAAAACCAATTACCTCTTCTAGTCAATGACTCAATAAATTCGTTTTTGAGTTGTGAATTTCTCCCAATGATGAATATATTTAGTTTCACGAATTCATGGTAAGGCTCAAGTTTTGATATAATAAGAAGTTAAAATAGCCAACTCCTAACTCACCTTAGTGGTTTGGATTGAATGGAGTTCAGTTCTCCCCTTCATAATATGTGTCCTTGCTATTTGGAAAGTGTTTTTGGGTAAAATTTGGGAAACACCCGCATTAGTGCTTTCTTGATAATGGGTTGCATTAGCGATGCTATAGAGATCATGTTATATTCTTGACACAGTAGGGCAATCACTACAGTGATCACTGTAGCACTATAACAATCTTGTTGAATTTTGTCAGCACGTTTACACAGTACACTACTGCCTCATCTAAGTCCTTACCCCCTCTGTGCACAGTGTAGTGATTGACTCATGCTATAGCAATCCAGTACAATTCCTTGATCGCTCTAGCAATCACGTAGCCCTATGCTACTGTCCAGGGTTATAGCCCAATTTATGGTGCACGTGAACCATGATTTCACCGTCAAACTAGGTATTTTATGCACATATTTTCTAGAATTGATCTAATATTATCTGCTGACACCCATGCTCCTAAAAAGGCTTAATAGTGCACTTGGTTGAATGCTGAGTTATTTACCTAGAGGAACAGGGATCAATTCCCACAGTAGTTTCTTTTTTCTCTATTTTTAGTGGTGCACCCAAAATACAAAAAGTCTAATTGTTGCATGCTATAAGGTGCTTATATTATTTTGCCTAATTCCGTACGTCTGTACTGACCAATTGCAACCAGTATCATCTTTCACAAGTCCATAGCCCATAGTTTCCCCTTATAATCAATGTTGAACACACTCTAAGTCCTATCAAACCTGAAATGGATGTATGTTCTCATGCCATGTAATAAATAAGCCACGGATGCAAGTACATTCACAAGATAGGTTATTACAAGTATATATTCTACAAATGTGCAGTTTACTCTTATGAGTTGCATATTGTTTACGAGATAAATGCAACTGAAACACATCGATATCGTCCTATTTACATGTTGCCCCTATGAGACTTCATTAACCATTGTGTAGTGACATATTTATGCCGTCTCTCTTCAGCCAATGTTCATACTAATTTGCCTCTCTCTCTCTTCATTTTTTCTCTGAATCTATCCACAGATTTTAGGATCTTGATTTCACCATACATCTCAGAGGAGGGTGCTTAACGGAACATCTTATAATATAATTGCTATTCTCGTTAGCTGCTTGCTTTATGTATTCAGTTATTGGAACATTTGTGCTATTGCTATATACTACTACTTCTATTTCATCTTGAACTGTGATAAAATGTTCTTGAACGTTGATGACTGTACCAGGAAACCTCGGGAGTATACTTCTTTGGAGGAAATGGTAGAACTCTAAGATCTTCTCAGCTTTCTTATAACTCCAAACTCGCAAAGGATCTCTGGGATGCTTCGTCTCAAATTTTCCTTGAGCGTCAGCTTGCTTCCCGGGATACAACTTGAACAGAGACATTAAACCTGGTAATGCTCCTCCAAGTATATATGAAGCATGAACTTGAGTTTTGATATGAGAAATTATAAATTTCTTTCTGTATTTAGTTATTATGGTTATAAATTAATTATTCATTTGTTTTCTAAACCAAAATAGCTAATTTTGTTATTAGAAGCTGACATGAATTTGTTTTATTTAACAGATCAAGAATTTGAAGAATAATGGTGTTCTTGAAGAGTGTAGGGATGTTGTCATTTGTACAGATACTACTATTCAATTTTCTCTCATTTTAGAAGATGTAGAGATAGTCACATAATTTAGATTTTTAGTTCTTTATAATTAACTATTTAATTTTATATGAGTATCGTATTTGATTATTTGTTTTATAATTTTGAACGGTATTTATGACAGGATAGAGTTACCGGAGATGACCAATTTTTCTCTTGTCGTTATTGACTTATAGTGACATTTCACGACTGAATTTTTCCTCGTTAAAAGTCATTTTTCTTGTAGTGTATATAACTTTTTTGTCCTTGGTTGCTTTGTTGACGCTTGGAGACGTTAGGGGTATTCGAGCTAAGTCTTTTTATAATATTGATGTACAATAAGCTATAACCACCAAAGATCATAGTGGAGTGGTAGGTATTCCTCATTCGTAATTACAATTTTCGAATTTGAACCTCTAAATATGGATATCGAACATCGAAAAAACGAGAGAAGAAGATGTATTCCTGTGCGCACGCGTGATTGGAAATAGGTTAAAAATGATGTTTTTGTTTGGTAGCAGTCAAATATCTGAAGTAGACAAAGATTTATTAGAAGGTTTTTTCAGTGGAGACTTCAAGGTGAAGATGTTAAATTAGGACAAAAAGTTGAAAAAATGTTGTTTTTTATGATAATGGAGGGGACAAGGTTATGATTTTTTTCTACAATCTTTTTAAATTTTTTTTTTATGATAATTGATGAAGAGTGGAAATCACGCTCAGATTTGTGGCCACAAAATGGAGGACAAAAATAATAATATTGCAACGATAACTATGATTTAGTCCAAAACAAGTTAAGTTTGGTTGCATGAATCTAGACTAGATTCTTATATTTTCTATTGGTGAAAAAGTCTCTTAGAGAGTACTTTATCTATCCATTTTTAGTTGTCATATTGCACTTTTCGAAAGTCAATTTGAATACTTTTCAAAATTAAATTAGATTATATTAATTCGATATTTTAAACAAAAAAATTAGATATTACTATATGAAAAGTAATATAAATTGCAATTTTTTCCGTATCAATATGATGAAAAAATATATCATAAAACGTTAGTCAAAATTCTTAGCATTTGACTCTAAAAAAGGAAACCATAACAACTAAAAATGGACGGCGAGAGTATATGATTGTTAGAGAGCGAACTTTTCTTTATTTAATTATAACTTCAATCTGCTTCCTTTATATGTGTGTTTGATTCTTTCTTTTGAGCGAAGCACAATAGTATTCTTTTCAAAGGGGGTGGGGTTGAGATTCAGATGCGGAATCTCTGTCTGTTCTGATATCAAATTGAAATTCTTTCAGCATCATATTTTAAAAAATAAGTTGATTGAAAGATCACACATTTGTTCTCCTCATAGTTTGGGGCATCTTGACAATTATGTACGTGTTAATTTGATATCCACCCCTCCTCATTTTGTGACAGAATGGTGTTTTCTACCGATCCTTCGTAGTATACTTGACTCTCTTTCTAGATTTTGAAAGTAAATTAATTAAACTTTTTATTTTATCATTAATGACAAGTATTACAATTGTACAAATAATTTAATGCAACATATTGACTATAGCTAGCTTCGCCTATGAAAAACTCTCCTCTTATTTCGAATAAATTTTATTTTAATTCACTTTGCATTTGTCCCGCCCCATTGCCATCTCTCACGAGATGTGACAACGAGTGGTAGTCCACAGGAAGTTGCTTCACACTTTTCTTAAGCCAGCTGTTTATGCAAATTTACCAAAAAAAAACACATGTAAAATTAATATGTGGAAAATTAGGAAGAATATACCATTAAGATTATTCTCAATTTTTTGTTGTTCCCTAAGGCGATGCTCGTAGAAAATTTTAGGTAACTTCTCATGAATTTCCTTATCCAATGAGATGAAAAAGTAGATGCAAAAGCAAGTCACCCACAAAAGAAACACAATAACATTTTGGTACATAAATTATTTTACGTTCACATAAAATTTGAGAAAGGATTACGCTCTAAGAGGCTATTTGTGTTAGGATTTATCCTAAATTTCGTATTTGAGTTCAACATTATAATTTTATTTTACTTCAACAATATTTTTTTGGTAGAAAAGATTTCTTTGTCAGAAACGAGGAATATTTTTGAACTCCTATAAGTTGAAGGTTCTTTCTTTTCTATAGAACACAATGTAGTTATTAAAAAAATCTTGTTTAAGAGGAGATTTATCCTCTTAAATATAGTTTTTAGAATATTTTTTATATTAATATTATCATATGTAAGCTAATTGGTCAAATCATAATTTTATGTGTCATCTGATTTATCGTTGTCATAGTTTACAATCATTAGCTTCCGCATCCACCTTGATTATTTTGATCCTAAGTCCTAACAGTTTAGTGTATATGAGGGATGAGATAGATAAAATTATCTAAATTAATTATTTTATTATATATATGAAATACCTTATCCCATCATTATAATAAACAAACAATTTCAAAACTAATTAATAATTCAAATATCGATAATTAATTTCATAATTTGAACCAATAATTTATAAATAATCCAAAAAAATAATTTTAACAATAATTCATCAAAAGCAAAGGCACATACATACAAAAAGTAAGAACATTGACATGACACAAAAAGTAATTAAGGCCCCCTTGTGATAGGCTGACATGTATACACATAAATTTTGGGATGATTTGCACCAATAGAATTATTTTGTTATTTAATTTTTGACTTCGTTAAAATAAGTTGTGCAAAAATAATTTTCGAATAAAAAGTTTGAGCTTAATTACCAAAAAAAGTGTCTGACTAACTAATTACGAATCTTATCAGGAGTTTAGTACAAAATATTATAACGAATCATCAATATTTTTGGATGGATGAACTTACCAGAAGTTCAAGTGAATTTACTAGGGTCGGTAAAGATTATGTAGTAACATTAAACAATTATATAGTGAACCATGTAATATAGGTTTTTTTTTTATTTATTTCTCATTCTTGTTCGATATTTGTATTTGAGTCCAATTATTCTGCATTGGAACAAATTGTTCACCAACTCTGTCTTATCACCATAAACTTCAAAGAGAATTCACTAATACATTTTTATTTCAAATTTGATTTTAAGTAAGTCTAAATTTCACAGTCAAGCCTTTTAATATCAATTTAATTTAAGAATTTTCAAATTGTTCAATTCAACTCTAAATTTCAAATATCAATTGACTTACTTTGTCTTCTTGAAAAATAAAGCTCAACAAAAATTTAATAATAATATTTTTAAATTTATTCAATCAAACTAATCAGAAATAAGTAATGAGTCTTCAATATTTTATAACTTCAAAATTCATCTCGAGCCTTTCCTTGATCAAGCCTGCATTTTCCGAACGCTATATATAAAATGAGGATTTTTTTTCTTCGCTTTTTATATGTATCGGCATGACTATATGTTAAAAAAAAATGAGAAAGAAGTAAGACCATAAGAAGAAGAAAAAGAAAATCTAGTCAAAGAAAAAGTTATCCAACTTTTCAACTAATAATAATAATGTGAAATGCAAGAATGCAAGAGCAAGAGCAAGAGAAAACAAATGGTAATTTAGTAGACACATTAGAAAAAAATAATATATGTATTGACTATTTGATATTAGGTTATGTATATATATAATTAATATACGATTGCATTAGAAAAATAATAATATATGTATTAACTATTTGACATTAGGTTATGTATCCCATAATGTAATTAATATAGGGAAAAAGCTTTGAAAGATATTTCAATTTTGGCCGAAATTACTGTTACGATACCAAATTTTATGGAGGACCTTTTACCCCCTGCACTATTTAATAGTGTATTTTAAAGGTATATATGTGTTCACATAAATACGTTACTATTTATAATTATGCAATATTTATGATGTCCACGTAAGCACATATATACCTTTTAAAATACACTATTAAATAGTGTAGGGGGTAAAAAGGTCCTTTCCAAAGTTCGATATCGTAACAACAATTTCGGTCAAAGTTCAAATATATTTCAGATTTTTTTTTCCCATTAATATACAACAAGCTATGGTATTAGTTATATAAGAATTTTAAATGCATTTATTAATATGGTTAAAAACATAACTACTCCTTAAAGTCTTTTTCATATCTTTTCCATCATATTTGTGGAGGATACCTTTTAATAAATATATATAGATATTATGCAATTGAATGTTTTTTTTAATATATCAAATCAAATGATGTATAAGAAATAATTTTAGCATATCAACATTATTAATACATTCTTTTTAACATTATTTGTGTATACCTTACCAAACTGACTCTTAAATGATTTATGTACTAGAGATTCACAAGTTAACCCAGGATAAGTTATCATGGAGTTAGCTATCCTGGAATAACTTATCCCACAACCATATATATGGGATAACTTATCCCATCACTATGATATAAATGATGGGATAAGTTATTCCAAACATAACAACCAAACAAGATAATTTTTTTTTAATCCCATCACTATTATTTTTAATCCCTCGTACCAAACGACCCGTAAGTTTTAAAGAAATAAACTTAAAAGACATGATTCAAACCAATCACATCAACCACCTAACTAATAAATTAGATGGGGTATAATAATGGGCAAATTACAACAATCACATACTTTTAAGGAAAAATTACAATCTATCCCTTAAAAGTTTATAATTACAGAAATCCCTCAAATGGATACAATAATATAAACGATGATACATTAATCTGATGCGTGAGATACACTAATATACGCGCTGATACATTAATCTGATGCGCGAAAATAAGGGATTTTGGAGATTTGTAAAACTTATAGGGGATAATGGTAATAAGTAAATTAAAATGTGA